TCACTATTTCTAATAAAGCAAAATTCATCCACTTCATCATTACAATTTACACGCCATATAAAGCCCCAATTTAGAACCTTCAAAGCTAAACATGGATTAATATTCAATTTAAACTTGCATAATTGCATTCTATTTTTGAAAATTAATTACCCAAATTCCAAAACGCATAGAATATATCTCAGTCTCAGGCTCTCAGCATGAAAGAGTAAAACTTGAAAAAATTATTAAAACATAAAGGGCATATCCGCAGACCGCATATTGTACTTGTTGAGGAGTGAGGGGTTGCCGCTGAGGGCTACTGGGCGAGGACAATAGAGTTAACTTATAGAGGCAGACAACACCGTTACACCGGAGGGCAAGGACAACGGAGCCTCAGAGGCAGACAACACCGGAGGGCGGAGGCACACCGCACACAGCGCCGCCTGGAGGAGATTAACAGAGGCTAAGAGTTTGAGAAATAAGAGAGACGATGGGACGAGGGAAATGAAGTGACCTGAGGTTTTTAAGTTTATGGATTGGGCTGGGTAGAGGGTAGGTCTTGGGACAGAAGTAACAAGAATTAAAAAAAAAATGAGCCCAGAAGTTAAAAAAAAAAAAATTGTGGGGTCATTCGACCCCACATGACCCCATGTGGGTCCGCCCCTGCTTACGGTCCCAATCAGCTTTTATTTGAGATTGATGTCGCTAGCGGCTAGCCTTATTATAATATTTAGTCAGTATTTTATAATTATTAATTTAATTTTTAATTTGTTAGTTTGAGGACCTAGGATGAAACTTTAGTTACGAAAATTCAAAATTTAAAATGGTCAACATATAACAAAGATTTGTACGGTATGAACTTTAACTTACCAACGAGGCATTTCACACTCTGATAAAATCAAGGAAGGAGAGGAATAGAATTCTGCTATAATGCAGGAAGAAAAAATAAACAGAGAAGCTGATATTATTGAAATGAAAATAACAGAGAAAGAAACCGGATAGAGCCTGCTATGAAGGGCAGGGAAGATTAAGAATATCCATTCATTCAAGCTTGAGAATTACAATGCAAACTATCCTATTTATAGAGAAATTCTAACAATCTATCTAACAAACTTAACAACATAACAAACTTAAGAAGAGACTAGAAGGAACTAGGAGTTGAATTCTGTTGAACTGGTGAACTGAAGAAGAGTTGGAACGTGTTCTGGTAAGCTGGTGAAGCTGCCTGGAGGTGATCTGCTGTGCTACTGCAAGGAGCTGCTGGTGAACAAGTGAAGTTGGTTTAATATTCCAACACACTCTTTCGACAAATGTTTTTCCGCATGTATGGTATTTTCCAAATAATTGTTAGAAATACATCATGCAACAATAACTACATAGGTTTATTCTTTATTCTCATTTGTTGTTCCTTTTGCCCTTCGTAACCTTGTTTACTAAATAATTAAATATTCTAAATTCATTGGTGCATTTGTCATTCTAAAAGCATTCTTATTTTAATATACATATTATAGCCACCAAAATATTTGAATTTAATGTTTAGATTAAAGTTAACTCTTTACAATTTCAGTGTTATTATTTGATAGTAAGTTTTTGAAATTTTAAATATTTGACTTTTGGATTTCAATTTTTAATATCCTAAAATTTATTCACGGGAAGCATTCCATATGAAATTGGAAACTTATCAATACTTCAATATTTATACTTGGACTCGAATATCTTGATAAGTACCTGTCTACTACTTATTAGCTCTTCTGGTATTCATTTATTTGAGCGTGTTGACAAACACCACAATACAGGTACAATTCCGCATTCAATTGGCAATTTATCAAATTTGAAGTATTTGAGTATAGGTTTCAATAGTCTTCATGGGCATATCCCACGAGAATCAGAACTTCTATGAAGTTTGGAAGGGTTAGCTTTGTCCACCAATAATCTTCAAGGTCAAATACCTAAATTCATCTTCAATCTCTCCATGTTACAACTCCTTCCTTTTACACTCTTCGGGACAAATGTGTTTCAGTATGTGTAACCTTTTCCAAATACTTATTAAAAATACATCGTAATAACATCAAATCTTATGTACCCAATCAGCTAGCCAGCCTAACCTCAATATAATGTTTAGTCAATATTTTATAATCTTTTCATTATTAATTGAATTTTTTTTTATTTGCTAGTTTGAGGACCCAAATCCAATTTCAGTTAAAATTAATGATTAGGCATTTCTTCGTTGGCAGCAAAGGTGAGCTTTGTACTTCGGAGTATTTTGATTAAAACATTATAAAAGTTATGAGAGTGTTTCTTTTACAATTTTTTTACATAAAATGATTCTGTGGAATTAATGACTTCTCATCCTAGATCAATTATTCAATATTCAATTGCAAATCAATGAATTATTGATTTTCAAAATTCACAGGTATTTTAAGAATTAACTTGATTTAGGTTTATTCTTTATTCTCGTATACTGTTCCTTTTGCCTTTATCACCTTGTTTACTAAATAATCTAATACTCTAAAATTATTTATAGATTTGTAATTGTAAAATCGTTCTTACTTTAAAAATATATATTAGAGCCACCAATATTTGAATATAATATTTCGATTAAATTTAACTAATCTCTTTACTTTCGGTATTAATATTCGATAATAACTTTTTGAAACTTTAAATATTTTAATTTTTGTTAAAAAATGTATTCATAGGAAGCATTCCATATGGAATTGGAAACTCATCGAGATTTCAATATTTATATTTGGATTACAATATCTTAACATGAAAACTATCTATTATTTATTAGTACTTTTGGAATTCATTAATTTGAGTGTGCTGGCAAACACAGATATAATTCCTCATTCAATTGGCAGTTTATCAAATTTAAAGGAATTGGTTATTGATAGCAATCGTCTTGAGGGTCAAATACCTGATTCTAGGGTTGGGCAAAATGTCCGAACCGAACTGAATCGAACCGGAACCGAACCGAACTGAACCGAACCGAACCGAGCGGGTTTTCTTAACTTAAAAACCCGAAGAACCGAGAACCGAAGAATCGAAGAATTTTGGTTCGGTTCTCGGTTCTAGACCTAGAACCGAAGAACCGAATAAGAACCGATTTTTTTTGATAAATCAATTTATTTTATTTTTCTAAACAAATTAACAATTTTTTGTTTTAACAATTTGATATATATATATTCCTTAACCTAACACGGGTTTAATTTTGGGCTAGTTTGTAGTTTTGTTTTTATTTCCTATTGGACTTAGTTTAGATTGGGTTTGA